AGCCATTTGAGGATTTCACCGTTGGCTTGAATGCACATTCACCACATCACCTGCATGAATTTGTTTCATTGGATCACTTTTTGCTATTTGCACTATTTTGTGGACTTTTTATGTGTATTTATTGTCATTATTCATATTTGACATATATTTCACTTTATAGTATTTATTCATATTAGAGCATTGTTTTTTGTATTTGTATATGGCTTTGATTGAGTGATTTTATATTTATTTTTTTGGGGGTATTTTAAGCACTTATCACTTTAATTAGGTGGATTATCCCCCTTTTTTTTAGGGATTCACTGTCGATTGCACTAGTTCATATTACATTGATTTATTGGCAGCATAGTGGCTAAATGGTTAGCACTTCTGCCTGGCAGTACTAGGGTCATTGGTTTGATTCCCAACGATGGCACCACCTGCCTGGAGTTTGCATGATCTTCCTGTGCCTACGTGGGTTTCTTCCCACACTCCAAAGACATGCTGGTAGGTGAATTGGATCCTGTCTAAATTGTCCCTAGTATGTGTATGTATGAATGTGAGTAGGGACCTTAGATTGTACACCCCTTGAGGGTTAGGGACTGATGTGAATGTACAATATATATGTAAAGTGCTGCGTAAATGGACGGCGCTATATAAAGTACCTGAAATAAATAAATTGATCCCAATTTACAGATTTGGGTTTTTGTTGGTGTAATTTGGATTTTTTCACTATATTGGGTCCTATTGGGACCAATTTGTTATTTCACTTTTTTGTATCACGTGTATGTGTGTCACAACTAGATCCCGACTGGATCAGATCACTTTGGATTTATTATTTTAAATTTATATGTCTTTATGTATGTGTATTCATACGTGGTATATTGATTAGCACTACACCAATTTATTTATACAATTTTACATTCACACCTATAAGGTTTAGGTTTGTGTGTTTAGCAGCTTATATGAGGTTTATCATTAATATATTAGGAGCACAGGAGGATCACATTAACTGTTTTTTGGATTAGCTGTTTAAAACCACGTAAAAACGTGAGTTTTTTAGCTTTTTTAGCGTTTTTTGCATTAGTGTTCAGCAACATTTGCAGCGTTTTCCCACATTTGCAATTTTTAGTGTTTTTTTTTTAACCAACAAAATTTTTTTAAAAAGTCAAAAAATGCCAGTTTGCAGCATTTTACCACGCTTTGCCACGTTTTTCAGCGTTAGAGTGTTTTTACAGCTAAAAGACTCCTCTAGAAACCCACTAGTCCTGGGGGGTTTTTTTCCAGCCAAAAAACGTTGATTACAGTCTATGTGTGCATAGGATAACATGCTGGGGGGTTTACTGGCTGTAGAAAAAAATGTCAAAAGCCAAAAAACAGCAGCTGTAAAAACGTCCAGTGTGCATGAGGACTAAATCGTGGCAAACCGGCATTTTTGGATATTTTGTTGACCAAACAAAATGATAAAAAACTCTTAAAAATGCAAACACGGAAAAACGCAAACAAAGTGGTAAAATACCGCTAAACGCTAATGCTAAAACGCTAAAAAATGCTGAAAAACTCACGTTTTTTAACGTGACTTTACACAGCTAATGTTACCAGTATTATTAAAACGTCCAGTGTGCACGAAGCCTAAAAGTGTATGTAAACCCTAGCAATGCACTTCTCTTAATTGATTCCTTTTGTTTTCTCTCAAACATAGCATTGAAAGGATTATATTTTATCTGTTCCATAAGTGCAAAAAATACATGTTGATCTAGCCAAAAATCCTGTACTGTTCTGTGTTCTGTTATCTCTCTAAGAGTCAGCCCTCCTAGTTCTTCTCTTGCACTACAAAACACCCCCCATATGCTTTGGAGATGAAGAGAAGGGAAGGTGTTTGTAGTTCAGCAAAAGACAACTAGGCAGACTTGACACTATTCCCTGCTTTTTCAGGCCAGTAGAAGCACTGGGGTTGATTTACTAAAGGCAAACAGACTGTGCACTTTGCAACGTGCATTTTCTCCAGAGCTTAGTAAATGAGGTAAAGTTTCACTGTGCAAAGACTACCTAATTACGTGCAAGGAAAATAAAATAAAAACAGCATTTTTGCCTGTACATGATTGGATGATGGACGTCAACAGAGCTTCTGCTCATTTACTAAGCTCTGGAGCAACTGTTCTTTGCAAAGTGCAGAGTATATTTGTTATTAGTAAATCAACTCCACTGTGTTGTCAGTTCAGAAAGCTGAATCCATCCCTGCCAGGATCAGTAGGTGTTTTTCTGTATTTGAAGGATCTTTAAAGGGATAAACAGCTAAATGTACATCTATTGCAGAGATACTGTATACTGCATATGTTTTATTTTCTTTTTCCTGACATACATTTACAAAATTAAAAATAATTTCAACAATAATGCAGATAGGCAATCTGAAACTCCTTTAAATTTTGCAGACCTAGGACCTGGTCTTAACAGACTTCCCTCACGTCCAGGCCTGCGTGTACTTGTGTTTTTTGAAGTCCCCCAATAATTGTAGGCAGTTTTTATTTTGCGGACTAAAATACAATATAATATATACATTTTCTGATTTCTTTTAATACTCGGAATTTGCATGTTCTCCCTGTGCCTGTGTGGGTTTCCTCTGGGTACTCTGGTTTCCTCCAACACTCCAAAGACATGCTGGAAGGTTAATTGGCTCCTGTCTAAATTGGCCCTAGTATGTGTATGTATGAATGTGAGTTAGGGACCTTAGACTGTAAGCTCCTTGAAAGCAAGGACTAATGTGAATGTATAATACATATGTAAAGCGCTACGTAAATTGACAGGTCTATATAAGTGCCTGAAATAAAAAAAAATAAAAATACTGACTCGGTCAAGAAAACCATCGCCTGCAATTGTAAATCTCAGGCATGCTATAATTTAATCTATACAAACTCTATTAGATTTACCAAAACCTATGCAGTATGAGGGCCCAACCGATTAATAATAAACTGACTGGATCTTCAAGGTAGGACCTTACACTACAAATACAGTTGTTGGTAAATCCACATATTGTACAGAGATTGTACAATCAGGTTGTAGCATTTGTGACTATTTTAATGGTTTCTGTTTATAAGCGTTTAGCTATTTAAAAGCAATTTAAAGTGTTACTAAACCCAGGATCCTGCATTCACTATACCTGGTCCCCCACAGTACACAGAACATGGAAGTGCAATTATTGTAGTAAATATAAACTGCTATATACCTTTTCTCTTCAGCAGTTAGAGCAGTCTTGTGACTTCTATCAGTGTTCAGCAGAGCACTGGTTAAAGCTTGTAGGAGGAATTTTTTCTAGGAGGATGCAAGACCCCTGACCTCTGTCTGGACCGTGTTGATTGGCCCTGTGCTCTCCCAAGGAAAAAAAAAAAAAAAGCTCTCTAGCAATAAACACCAAACTGAGCATGTCCACAAGATATGTCTTATCAGGAGATAAGAGGGGAGCACTGGAGGAAGGGGGGGATCAGAGAAGTCAGGATCACAGTTTTTACACAATGCAGAGGATTAACCCCTTAGGTTCCACAGTGAGTATAACAAGCATGCTTTACTGCATATACAGACCTGATTTTACTGTTGTGGGTTTAGTAACACTTTAATCTCTGTGAACTCAGATTAATGGTGTACTTGCCTTGATCCTTAAGCATGTTTCTCTGTACAACTTCATGCAGATGTTTTATTTCAGAAAAGGTTATAATGTGTTGAGAGTTACTTGTCACCCAGGATTGTTTTGCAGTTTCCGTTCGAATGACAAACTCTTTTTCAAATTTTGTAATCAGGCCTTGTACCCTACACCCATTTGGGCAGTTGGTAACCTGCTAATAAGAGGAGTCTGGGTCACTTTTCTGCCTTTTTCACAAGAGGCTTATTAATACACGTAGAGTTATGTATGTACTGATCCAACTGTCTGCTGTGCTTTCACTATTCCATTATTACTTGTTTATTGGCTGTTTGTGAAAAATAAAAAAGATTCCTAGGTACTAACACATATGTAGGGTTATTCTGTTAATTCAAAATGATTGCACAGCAACCAATCAACACTTATCATGCAGTGGTTTATCTACAGTAACCTGAAACCTTACAGGTTCCCCACTTTGGCTGTAAGTAAGCCAAACAGATGTGGCATGTACATGAAAATGAGTCCAAAGGAAAATGCTGGCATTGTTTATGCCAGTAAGTAAATGAGATAGAAAAAAAAATCTATATCTCCTAGATTGTAAGCTCTTGTATTGAACTGTATTGTTGCTGTATTGTCTCCCGTTATATTTTAAAGCGCTGAGCAAACTGTTGGCAATATATAAATCCTGTATAATAATAATAACAATAATGCCATCACTAGAAAAAGAAAACAGTCATTTGATTAGTTGCTATAGACAATATCAGTTTTTCTATCTGGTGCTGTTCATATGCAATCCCAACTGCACTTTGTTTATCAATGTATCTGAAGAAAGGGTGATTCATCCTTGGGGGGGTATTTACCAAAACTGGAGCTCTCAGAATCTAGTGCATAGCAACCAATCAGCTTCTAACTTTGTTCAATTAAGTTTTGACATCACAACCTGGAAGCTGATTGGTTTCTGTGCAGAACTTTTCCAAATGTTGCACTCTCTAGTTTTAGTAAATCTCCCCCATAGAGTCTGATAAAATTAATTAAAGGCTAATAGGATAGGTTGGGCTATGTGAAACATGAACAATTTTCTTCAGACAGTGATAAACAAGATCATTTGTGATTATGTATATATCCTGAATGATCTAGTGCTGTCCTTGTATGACACAGTGTATTGGGTGTATTCTGCTGTACAATGGACTATTTAAACCCGTTAAGCACTACTTACAGTAAAAAGAACTAGTGTTACATAGTGTAATAACAAACACACAACAACGGAAAGTCATTGTAAGTCATTTAGTTTTCTTCTCAGTTACAGTGTCTATACATTAAGCCAAGTATATTTAAAAAAAAAAACACATAATACAGTGATAGTTTGGGGAGTGCAGTGCTATACAAAATATTATTATGCAGTTTCCACAGGCCGTATTTTCATTCTCACAGTTTTTAGAGAATAATCATCTGGCTTGAAAGACAACCAGACAACTCCATTCTCAATCTCATAGGGGGCATTATTCCTAGGATCATATTGACCTCCAGTGTAGTAAATCCCATTCAGATTGGCAGCTTGGCAGTTATTGTACCACCACCCCCCTCCATACATTTCTGCACAGTTCTCCTCCCATTTATCATTGTCCCTATCATATGTGCTAAACTTCATTTTATCATGAGAGGTGTTTTCACTGTCTTCTTTGGAGCCTTCTGTGAGAGCATCCCCTGCTGAACCTTCATAATTACTAACATGAAGAGCATAACCCTCTGATTCTGACCCTAAATGAAAGATATATTCTGCATAAGCCTGCTTCCCAGACCAGTCCTCTAGCTCAACCCTGAGAACTGTCTCGTTCTGGCTCAGCATGTGTATGTATTTATTTCCCAGCCAAAGTTCTCCTTTCCCATTTGCATCCACAGATCCAAATCCATGCTTGTAGTCTTGCCATGTTCTGTTAAAATTCACAGATCCATCTTCTCTCTGTTGAATCAAAAGCCATCCTCCTATCTGGGTGTCTTGGTCACAATACACTGACAGTTCTGTTTGGGATTCCTCTGGCTTGATTTTGAAAATGCCACTTTTGCCACCAGAACTGTGCTTCTGGAGGATATCGGCACAGTCTAAAAAGAAACGCAGTTTTATCTTGTTTGCTAGGATTCATATTTTGAATATTATTGCACATTGCTAAGTTTGCCAGGATGATGGAAGATTAAAGAAATTATGTTCTCCTAAACTTATTTTCTGCTTGACAAGATTTATCTGAAAGCACTGCAAGGCAATTGTGTACTAATTAAATTTTTTGATAAGTAAATGTAGGTATGTATGAATGTGAACAGTTTTTCAAAAACAAAATGTAATATATTACATACTACTATATTATTTTTGATGATTTCAATTAAACTATGTGACAATACTGGGCAAGATAATGTAACTTTTAGGTGATATGTAATAAACTGTGCTCTTTGTTTCATATAACTCAGAATTTGGGGTCTGATTCACGGATAATTTGAGTTTATATACTTTCAGTGTCCCCTACAGCTATCCTGGTGTCATTGTTTTGTAGTTTGGAAAGCTGAATTATGTGTTTTTGGCCTAATTAGGGTAGACCCCAGAACTGTAACTTTTACTTTTATTTACCCTGTCCACCGCTAGATGAAGTTTTTTTCACTCCTGGTTTCACACTGCGGGCATGAAAATCAGGCACGTCTTCTTCACTGTTTTCAACTTGTATTGGACCGAGATCTTCAAACACTGGCCCACTCTTGTATTTAGTACCCCACTCTGTTCCATCCTTTGTGGTCCCACTGCTGCTGCTTACTACAGTCTTGGAATATGTAGTGGATCCAGAAGAACCTTTTCCGGGTTGGAAACTAGGAGGACCAAGGTCTGTATGGCTAAAATCATCAAATTCATCTTCTCCAAGGGTTAATGAAGTTTGCGTTTTCGATGATGAACTCTGAGTTTTAGAGGTTGAACTGCCAGTAGAAAAGCTGCCACCACTGACCTGTTTACCACTAAGAAATTCTTCCCAACTTGGGAGGTGGACACCTCCTGCACTGCCACTTCCAGTTACTTTCAGAGTGTATGTGCCATCAGCATCAAGCTCGCCCTTTCCTTCTTTCTTTAGCTCTTCTAATTTCTGACACTCATCTCCACTCATTGTTTCAAAAACTTCTTCCCTAGGTCCATCTGGCCCATGAATTGTTTTCTTAGTAATAGTTTTTGTGCATGTAATGACTCGACTTTCAGTTGTGACAGTTGTCTTATCTCCCCCAGATACTTTTATAGGTTGTGTACTTTTATCCCCTTGAATAACAAATGTGGAAGTTTGGGAGGGTTGCTCTTTTATGCTACCAGAGACGTGAGAGACACTTGAAGTGGACACTGGTTGTCCACTTACCTCTTTACTTTTCCCTTCTAGTACAAATGCATATTGTCCAATGTCAGAGAATATGGGATATTCAGCTTTATTTTGGGCAAGTGTCTTGAAACGTGAATCAACCATGGGAGCATCTTTAATTGGCCTCATCTTCAATACAGGTATAGCATTGTGATTTGGTCTGAGATCAGTAGATTCAGCTTGCAAGAGCTGTTTCTGGATATTTTCATAGCTTTCATAATCCACATTATAGTCAACTCCCTTTGCACAGGATCCTTTGCAAGAACGAAGTTTAATGTCAATATCAACCTGGAAAAGAGCAATCGATTAGAGAGGTGTGCAGTGTGTCTTATATGAGACACATTAAATAAACCTGCTTGTAGGACTTTATTGCACAGCTGTTCCCTTACCTCAAGGCGCTTCATTTCTACCACCTGGTCTCTGATGCCTCTTTGCAGCAATCTGATTCGGTTAATCTGAGTGGTAACTTTAGTTTTCAAGAACTCAATCTTTTGCCTGAGGGTTTCAGTCACCTGGTTATATGAGCCATCAGTCTCTAAAGATGCCAAACAGAAAATTTAATTTACTGTAATTTGTCAGCAACCTCGATTGAACATAGAAAAGGGCCTTTTTAAATCAGGCCTTTAGTGATGGACATAGTTAAACTCCTAATGGTATTACAAAAATGTCAAACTAATAGAACCTCAGCATGACCACCTTTTTTTAGCAAATACGCTTAGAAAGACAATACTTCACGTATTGTACTAGGAAAGAAAAGGCAACTTTCTCAAATCAGGTTGAGGTCTGGCCCACCCAGGCCCAACGGCATGTGACAGTTGTTACCTCAGTCATGCTTCTATCCCTACCTCCTCCTATGGTAAAATAATAGGGTTTTTACTCTCACACTGTTCCAGGAAACGGAAGCTAAATAAGCCCAACTTCACTTTGTATTGAATAGTGCACAACCTGTGCATAAAAGGATGACTGCTTACAATAAATCCTTCCATGATATGGAAAGTGTTTTGATTTGTGACAGATCATCTTTAAAAAAAATCTCTGAATTCCTTGTTATCGTAGATCTGGCTATCTTTGCTTTCTGTCTGCTAAAATAAAGATTTTTATATTTAGAATAGTTTCAAATCAGGCATCCTGTATATCAACTAGAATATAATATCACTGTTGTTTGTGTATTTAAAGCTTATTCTTGTAGATAGGGAAGAAAAAGCAGAACATATGTTAAAATAAATGAGAAAAAGTTCAAGAAAATAAATTGCTAAAAAACAAAAATGATACTGTGGTCAATAAAAAAAGACAAAATGATAAATAGATAGAGATAGATATAACGTACAGTATATATTGAATAAAAAGCTACACTGACAAAACATGGCCTGGCTACAGTATAACACAATGCCTGCAGTAAGCTGATCGATGCTAAATTTAATACGTACGTTGTGCTGCCACCAGTTTGTCTTTGACAGACTTATATGTGTCCTTGGTTCTGATGTCAATGCTAGTATAGCTGCTTTCTCCATCCTTTAATTTCTGTTTAATGGCATCAATTCTCTTGCTAAATTCTTTGTCAGTTTGGGTAGTTAGACCTTGAACCCTGCATCCAGAAGGACATTTGGGACCCTGCAGGTAACGTATGAGATATTGACATTATAGAATAAACATCAAGCACTTTTCACTTTAACACGTGACAAAGGGTTTTGACAGTAGTAGAGTTTGTTTTGTTTTTTTTAAAGAGAGCACATCAATAGTTATGATGTGACAACTCACTTATGTGTGTAAATTTCAGCCTGCGTTACTGAGTTCTGTAAGCAATAGACACTTTTAAGTAGGAAAAAAGGAGGAAAAGGAAAAAGTTAAAAGGAGACTAAGGCTCCTCCTGTAGGCTCAAAAGTAAATAAAAAACATCAAAGCCATGCAGATATAAAATGCACACATAAGGCATATGCTGTGTGTATTCATCAAGAAATCTTTAGATCTATTTTTTTACTGCAACTAATGCTAGTAGATAAATTTGATTTGGTAACATCCTCTTGCTATGAGAACATCAATACTAATGATTGCTGATTTGTTGCTATAGTTGAATTCTGCACATTGTCTTTCGCTTAAAATTTTCCTAAACCCATGACCCTGCATTCACTATATCCGGTCTCACACAGTACACAGAACACAGAAATGCAATTATTTTAGTAAATGTAAGCTGCTAAATACTTTTTTCATCAGTAGTTAGAGCAGTCTTGTGACTTCTATAAGTGTCCAGCAGAGTACTGGTTAAAGCTTGTAGGGGGAGTTTTCATTCTCCCCTGGTTGTCCTATGAGGCTGCATAGCCCCTGACCCTCTGTCTGGACAGTGCTGATCACATACACTGTCCCAAGAAAAAAAACCTCTCTAGCAATACACACCAAACTGAGCATGTGCAGATGGATTGGGGACTGTGGAAGAATGGGAGGATCAAAGAACACAGGATCAAACAGCCTTTTTACATAATGCGGAGGATTAACCCGTTAGGTTCCACAATGAGTATAACAAGCATGCTTTACTGCATATACAGACTGATTTTTTACTGTTGTGGGTTTAGTAACACTTTAATTGTGCTTTTAAACGACCAAATCCTAAACACTAGTTTTTCAGTTTTCCATAGACACCCATTGTAAAATTACTTGGATTTCAACAAGAATAGATGCAACAGTCAGACTGTGTATAAAGTATAGCTGATGTCGGCCTTTGAGCCATTACAACTATCACAACAAAAAATGTATTCCCTCTTGAACGTGTAAAAAGTTCGCTGTCAACTGACGTCACTCAGCTGCTCCAGGCTATTGAGATATCTCAACTTTCACGTCGGGATCCCCCAAGATGCCTGGATCAGCCTCTCAGTGAGCACTGTAGGGGCAGAGCAGAGACCTGGTTACTGACAGTCACCTCTTTCTGCTCACTGAAGACCGAAAACTGAGTGATTGGCAGTCTTTGATCGCTCAGTTCTTAGTATAGAGGCAGCAGGGGACAGATGCAGTAATGGATCGATGCTGCATCAACCTAGGAGAATATACATTTTTTTTGTTTGTTTGCTTGTTTTTTTTTTAAATTCCAAACTTAATTTTTAAAGATGGCCATTGACTACATAGATTAGCATTAGAAGAGTTTGTTATTTGCTGCAGAGCTTTTTCAACAACTTGGAACATGAGGTAAACAAATTATCTTTTTTCATTTGCACTAAAGTTTAGTGCCATCTACCGGTAAATCAGCATAAAATGTTGGAGCAATGCTTGGAGGTACAGCAAATCTCTTGGCATTAATGCCTGATGACTAATAGACAGTTCATTTTTCATGCATGAATCCTTCCTGCTGTGACATTGTATTCTGATGTCAATTGGCTGCAAGGTGCTGATTTACAAAAGTCCCATAGGACAGAAGTAGACCGTTAGATTGTCATCTGCAGAGCAGGACTAGCCATAGATGGATCGAAATTTGACCTCTCACAGCTGAACCGGCAGAATTTAAATCCATCCATGTGAAGAATATGGCTAGCTAAATTGACATTTTAATACAGGATGGATGTCAGCATGCTGCACATATTCACATGAAAAATCTCAGGTCCTAAAAAAAGAAAGGACGTTCACTACAACTCATAGCGCACTGTATTTGTACTAATATAAATACACTGTTCCCGTCTTGGTCATAAACGTTTTTATTAATAAAAAGAACACAAATCTCAAAGTTAAAAAAAGGAGTACCCTATAGAAAAAATATGCCCTAGATCTATCTTTTCTTAGCTTTTGGTCTCTTGAATGCAATTTGCCTCTTGTTCTTCACCAGATTCTTGAGAGGGCTGTTGGCCTTTTCTCATAGCAATTAATCATGCCCCCACCATGGTCATTGCTATTTTAATGGTTCAAGGGCCAACTCAGGGTACACTGACAGGCTCTCTGTATGATACCAACTCCGCACCCACTGATACTCATTTCCTATGCTTGCTTGATGTACTCAGGAAATGGCCAATGCTTCCGAGTATGGACAACAAGTGATCTCCAACCCTTCTTCCCAAGTCGTAGCATTTGTACCTGAATGGCCAATGTCTAGGCATGGACACTGTCAGGAAATCATTATCCCTGCGTAAGCTCTGACACCATCTGAGCATAATGAAATAAGGTGCATTATGAGGTTTATGTAGGAATATAGTACCAAGTTTTTTGCTCCATAAGATGCACTTTCCCCCCCCCCCAAAAATGGGGGGAAATGTCTGTGCTTCTTATGGAGCGAATATTGACCAGTCATCATGTCTCTGGTCATCTCCTGTACCATGTCTGCAGTCTCTGACCGTCTCCTGTACCATGTCAGCAGTCTCTGACCGTCTCCTGTACCATGTCAGCAGTCTCTGACCGTCTCCTGTACCATGTCAGCAGTCTCTGACCGTCTCCTGTACCATGTCAGCAGTCTCTGACCGTCTCCTGTACTATGTCTGCAGTCTCTGACCGTCTCCTGTACTATGTCAGCAGTCTCTGACCATCTCCTGTACTATGTCAGCAGTCTCTGGTCATCTCCTGTAGTATGTCTGTAGTCTCTGGCCATCTCCTGTACTATGTCTGCAGTCTCTGGTCATCTGCTGTAGTTTGACTGCAGTCTCTGGTCATCTCCTGTAGAATGTCTGTAGTCTCTGGTCATCTCCTGTACTATGTCTGCACTCTCCGGTCATCTCCTGTACTATGTCTGCAGTCTCCGGTCATCTTCTGTACTATATCTGTAGTCTCTCGTCATCTCCTGTACTATATCTGTAGTCTCGGGTCATCTCCTGTACCATGTCTGTAGTCTCTGGTCATCTCCTGTACTATATCTGTAGTCTCGGGTCATCTCCTGTACCATGTCTGCAGTCTCTGGTCATCTCCTGTACTATATCTGTAGTCTCTCGTCATCTCCTGTACTATATCTGTAGTCTCGGGTCATCTCCTGTACCATGTCTGTAGTCTCTGGTCATCTCCTGTACTATATCTGTAGTCTCGGGTCATCTCCTGTACCATGTCTGCAGTCTCTGGTCATCTCCTGTACTATATCTGTAGTCTCTGGTCATCTCCTGTACTATATCTGTAGTCTCTGGTCATCTCCTTACCATGTCTGCAGTCTCTGGTCATCTCCTGTACTATGTCTGTAGTCTCTGGTCATCTCCTGTACTATGTCTGTAGTCTTTGTTCAGAATATTTTTTTTCCTCCTCTAAATCGTAGGTGCATCTTATGGTCAGGTGCATCTTATGGAGCAACAAATACGGTAATTGCTAATACAAAGGCTCTGCCTTTAAAACAGTGCTTACTTACCCAATCCTCATCTGAACACACTTGCCAGCTTTTCTCTTGCTTACAGCCAGCATCAGCTTTCTGTTCCACAATCCTGGGGCCACGACCAGAAGCACCAGCCTCTGCAAAATCCTCAGCTGTCTATTTATTAAACAAATAAAAAGATCAATAAACATTTTTAAGAAATTATTTTTGAAGAAAATCTTATAGTCCTTCATAACCACAGCAGTTTTATTAGTTGTATTTATATTTAAAGAGTAC